ATTGACTTTGTTGAACCTAGAAATCCCAAGAAAGTACTAAAGCAAAGAACACAAATTTTTTATCTAGGTTTGTTCTTAGGCATGTTTGATGTAAGAATTTTTTAGAATAGATTTTATAAAAAAATGATATTTTTAAAAAATTATGATTTAAAATAAAAGAAAAGTTATGGATTCACTTGCAAAATTATTTTATTATAATATGTTTGATTAAATTAAAATGAATTTAAAGAAAGACGAGTTTTGAAAAATCTGAACTAAATAGAAATTAGGAGACTCGCATCCGAATTGAGGTCTACTTTGATCTCCTATGCTAGATCTTCGCCCTATTTCAAGGTTTAGAGTACAGTATGGATGATTACAACACTTTCAGTTTGAGATTAATTTCAAAGCCCCAAATTTTCATTCTCAGACAATCAAAATTATTTAGATATTTGGTAAACTTGATATAACTCTAATTTTGAAAGAATTCTGTCGCAGATTTGAGAAGTTTATCCACTAACCCATCATTAAACTATTAATTTTGACCCTTAGGTACTTCCAAGGTCCTTCGGTATTATACAAGTATTTGAACTTTTCTTCTGTATAAAGTATGTTTTTATTTCCTAATTTCAAGAATTTTGATTTTTTTATTAATTTTTCTTTCAAAATAACTATGTAGAATATACCGTCTTAGATAAACATTTAATATTATATTATTATGATATTTGTTCAGATAAATTCTTCAATCGTTCGAGATCGTTGACAATTAATAATATATATGATGAGTAGATTATCGTCACACGATGAATAAACTTCAAATTGAATTTTATTCATCCGTTATCAAATTCGAATGTAACGTAACAAAAAATCTATATTAATTATTTCTAGATTAATCTGCTAATTAACTAATATGACTTTAAACTAAGAGATATGAACATAAATAAGCTTGCATAATCCTAAAAGCTTAACAAGTCCTAGATTTAATATCAATAGTAAAATCGGACTTCGGAGACTATTTGTTGAACCATGAAACGCGATCCGCGAACCTATTCCACTACTTGCAAAGTATAAAAGCAATACACGAGGGAAATAAGAGCATAAAAGGTTCACCCAAAGTAGACAAATCTTTCTCCCATCCAGGCTGGACGCAACCATCAATAAAATAACACATGGATCAATAAAATAAAATATGATGCTCTTAATAGAATCAATTACAAGATAGCTAATAAGAGATTGCCATTTATTACACCTCCCTAAATGACCATATTACCCCAAAGGTTGAAGACAAATCAATAAATACTCTCACTTTTGAAGAGAAAAGCATGCAATTCAAATATTTCCCTCTCAAATATATATTTTCCCTCTTATTCCAAGTTTGAGCATCGAAATCAGAGAGCTTAGGAGGAGAAAATCATAGTTAGGTGAGAGGATTTGTTTATCCGATTTCTACCATCAACATAGGTATTGTTTAGCAAATACCGTTGACGATATTGTATAGTGAAATGGTTGTTTGATTGAATGAAAAGTAGTATTTAAGTTTAATTCGCAGGAGCGTAATTAAACTCTAAGAAAATAGAAGCAAAAAAGAAAAGAAAGAAAATGTGAATAATGAAATCCGAGGCAAGTGATTAACACTTTCTCTTTAAAACAAAATTGCCTCGCAACAACACTAACACATTACAACACTGTCTTCCAAGATACAATGGATCCAACTCATGGTCAAAGTACTTCAAACCACAAGCAATAATGAAATCGAGCGAATTTCTTCCCTCTACAAGAAAATCATTTTTGGAGATTTTTTTCAAGAATTTTTGATATAATGCTCAATACAAATGATCTGAGATGAATAATGGACATCCAAAGAGCCATATTTATAGAAGATAAGAGGTTGTGAATGAAGTGTTACATTTCAAACTCAGCAACCTTTACGAAGGGAAGCATCCCTTGCTGTCACTTGCTTGTCCCTGGCCTTTCGCTCGAGTGATAGTGACATTTGTTCATTAGAAACTTTTTAACCTGCCTATTGCTCTAGAGCTAGGCGAGCAGTGGAGTTAGGCAAATTTCCTTGCCAATTTTTTCCTCTTTTCCATCCAACTTTGGACAGTAATTACTCGTTCATCTAGAATTGGTTTTGAAATTTCAAATATACCACGACGATCTTCTTAATGAATAGAACAAGTTAGCCTATTTATATTTATAATTTGACTATCGGATCAAATCCGAATATTTGGCCGCATTTGACACAAAGTCACTTTTGAAGTTTTATCCCTAATCAAAATTTTCAATCTTCAAACCAAATTCCAACAAATACTTTTTTTGTTCATTCATAATTTTAAAAACAACTTCTTTTTATGTTTTCAGGTTATGAAGTCATTAATCAGGCTGAATGTGAACGAGAAGAACTTAGAAGGTAAGACGGCATTGGATATCCTAAAACCTGGAAATGTTGAAGCAAGGGAAATTTTAATGAGCGCAGGAGCCAGAGATCTTGTCGATGATTCTAACACTACTGAAAATTACTTGAAGTCAAATTTAACGTGGAAAGATAGTATTATCAAAGTTGGTGCTTACCTGGATTTTGGTTTGCCAGAGAATATGCGAAACACTATCCTAGTAGCAGTTGTTCTTATTGCAACTGCTGCATTTCAAGCCGCTCTCACTCCCCCTTTAGGGATTTCTGACATTGATACCACTCCTGTTTTTCCCAGCATCACTTCTGTCTATAATGCTACTACTACAACCAATTCCACTAGCACCAACTTGTACAGCAAAACCAAAAGAACTGCAAAAATAAGTATATTTTTCAACACAATCGCCTTTGGACTTGCAATGGGAACGTGTTTTATACTTACGCTCGATCCACTCCAGTTGTTTCTCTTCCTACCTCTTTTGCTATTTTCGGCAAGCTATGCAGCTTTGGCATATGGAATATACCCAGGTACAGAAGCTTTTTTTCTTCCGTTTGCGGTGGGGTCATTAGTCCTACTGCCTTTCTCGACGCTAATTCCCTGGAGAAGGATAGTACACAGAGGGCTAATAAGGGGTGGAGAAAACTACTCCAACTACAACCTTGACGAGGTGAAGTATCTCATATTTGCTAACATTTATGCGCATCATCAAGGAAACCTACGCATGAGGATGGCTAAAATGAAAGCATCTAGATGGAAGGCCAAGGAAAATAATGTGTAGATTAAGCTTACAAAAATGAGTACAAGGATTTGTGGTGGTTGACAGAGAAAAAATAACATTGTCTCTTATTAGATTATAAGATACGAGTTTCTTTTGGTCAATGCAATCAGCGAGAAAACCCATTCAATCTCAGTGGACAATGTCTTGCTGTTTTAATTATCAAGTGTTGTTTGAGGAAGTTTTCAACTTTCGTTTAAGCTGTAATCATTTAGCGTCCGTTTGAGCCTCCATTTGGGAAAAACATATAAAAATAAGTAATGGACAATTGGTTAGTACTTGTTGATCCATTAGTACGTTTGATTGAAAATAAAATTTGAACAATTTACAAATGGTTTATGAATTTGGCAAAAGGAGGCTGAATTGAAGGGAGGGCTTGCACTTACGGGCTATGAGTTTGAAATTCATGAATAAACCAAGTTCGTTATATTCAATGGTGGAGCCAAGATTCTTGGTTCGTGAGGCACTACAGTAGTCTGCAGCATTACAATAGATGGACGAGAGAGAGGCATCGTATTAACTTTAAAAAAAGTAAAAAATTGTTGTAAAAAGAGAGAAAAAGAGAATAGAGAATAAAAGTCAATAAACTTGTCCGTATTATAATGTGAATCAAAATCCTATAATTATAGAGAAGGAATAGGGATACATATGGTAATAATTTCTAGGGATTTAGGGGTACAATCGTCATTCACCGACACTCCCCCGTGAATGACACATTACAAAATATTTGTCTCGTTAAAACCTTGTTTGATAAAAATTCAATAGGACAAAAAAATCAAACGAAAGAAAAAGAGTACAATTATTTTTGAGCATTAAAAATAAATGCTGCCTCATTAAAATCTTGTTAGGAAAACCCACTGGGATAAAACCTAAGCGAAGGAAAAAAAAGTACGACTATTCCCCCTGATGTTGATCACTGAAAATTTTTGAGTCGACGCATTGCAATCTTGTGAACCAATTTCTTGAATGTAGATATTGACAATGCTTTTGTAAATAAATCAGTCACATTGTCACTTGAACGAATTTGTTGAATATTGATTTCGCCATTTTTCTGAAGCTCATGTGCATGAAAGAATTTTGGAGAAATATACATTGTCATGTCACATTTGATGTAACCTTCTTTGAGTTGTGCCATACAAGCAGCATTATCTTCATACAAAATTGTTGAACTATCTTTTGTTGAAATTAATCCGCATGATGCTTGGATATGATGAATCATGTTTCTCAACCATGCACATGCTTAGCCTGCTTTATGAATTGTAATAATTTCATAATGATTTGAGGATGTTGCTGTCAAATATTGCTTCAAAGATCTCCATGATATAGTTGTTCATCTACGTGTAAACATGTATCCTGTTTGTGATTTAGCTTTATGTGGGTCAAAGAGATAACCTGTATCTGCATATCCTATTAAAGCAGATCCCGACTTTTGAGAATAAAATAATCCAAAATCAATAATACCCTTTAGGTAACGAAAAATATGTTTAACACAATTCCAATGTCTTTGTGTTAGTGTAGAGTTATATCCTGCAAACAGATTTACAGAAAAAGTTATGTCGGATCGAGTACACTTTGCAAGATAGTTTAATGCTCCAATTGCACTAAAATATGGTACTTTAGGACCAATAATCTTTTCTCCATCTTCAAGTGGAGGAAAAGGATCATTTTTCGCATCAAGTGATCGAACAACCATAGGTGATGCCAATGGATGTGCATTATTCATATAAAATTGTTTTAAGACTTTATGTTTGTGTAGATTGATGAACAAATAATCATTTTGGGAAATGTTCAATTTGCAACTCGAGACAGAATTTGGTTTTTCCCAAATCTTTCGTCTCAAATTTATTTCTCAAATAATCTGCAATTTTGTTGAACTCTTCAAAAATTCCAATTAAATTTAAGTTATCAACATATATTACCACAATTGTAAATCCAATATTTGCTTTCTTTACGAAACCACATGGGCAGACATCGTCATTTTTATAACTTTCATTCAACAAATATTCGCTGAGACCATTATACCACATGCGTCTGTATTGTTTTAATTCATATAATGATCTGTATTCTCTTTCGAACTACATGTCCAAACACTTTCCGTTTCTCTAAGAAATTCAACTCCCCTATATGGCTTCTTTCCATTTTGGCCAATCATTTCTATTTTGACATTGTTTAACAAACTGTGGATAAAGATCCTCATTTTACATAATATCAAAAGTCGCGTTAAAAGAGAAAATATTGTCTATAACAATATTATTTCGCTCCCATAATTTATGAGATACCATATAATTTATTGAAATCTCATTATTTTCCAACACTTGTGATTCTCCAAGAACCATATCTTAAATATTTGATTGATCAATCTTTTCTAATGTTACTTCTTCTAAAGTTTTTCGTTGGTTTTTCTTTTACTTTTCTTTTTCGAGGTACAAAGTCCTTTGAACCAACTGGTGGTCTATATTTGTCCTATTTGTAAGGACCCTGACCTTGCCTAACCAAATGGAAACCGAGTGTAGGTTGACTCTTTTGGGTTTTGAGCTAGGATCCCATTTTTTTAATAAGGAGCGGTTGACCACGATTCTGGCGTATTTGAGATTCATTTATTACAGCAAATTGTCGTGCAGGGATATCAATTTTTGCTGAAATATTTTCTACTGATATATATGATTTTGTCAATTTTCTTGTGTCAATAAACACATCTGGTAATTGATTTGCAACTCTTTGCAAATGAATGATTTTATCAACCTCTTGCTCACATTGATTGTCGCGGGGATTAAAGTGAGATAGAGTTTTTTCATTCCAAAAAAATTTATCTTATTTATTAGGATGTAGTTTTTCTTCTCCTAAAGTTGGAAAAATCATTTAATCAAAATGACAATATGCAAAAGACGCAGTAAATAAATCACCCATTAAAGGTTCAAGATACCTAATAATAGATGGTAAATCAAAACACACATAAATTTCAAGTCTTCGTTGGGGACCCATTTTAGTCTATTGTGGGGTGAAATAGAGACTTGAACAGTACAACTAAAAACCTGTAGGTGAGAAATATTAGGTTCATGACCAAATGTCGTTGCAAAGGTGAATATTGATAATAAGCAGTTGGTCTGAAGCGAACTAACGACACAACATGTAAAATGGCATGACCCCAAACGGAAGCTGAGAATTTTGTTTTCATAAGTAATGGTCTAGGAATAAGTTATAGACATTTAATAAATGACTCTGCTAAACCATTTTGTGTATGGGCATGTGCAACCGAATGTTCAACAACAGTCCCAATTAACATGCAATAATCATCGAATGCTTGTGATCTAAATTCACCAGCATTCTCAAGACAAATAATCTTGATTGAGCAATCGGGGAATTGCACGCGTAATTTTATGATTTGAGCAAATAGTCTAGCAAAATCTACATTCCTAATAGAAAGTAGGCAAACATGTGACCATATAGTAGAAGAATCAATTAATATAATAAAATAACGAAATGGTCCACATTGTGGGTGTATTAGCCCACATATATCTCCATGCACCCCTTTTCAAGAAACTTTGAGATTCAATATTGACCTTTGTAGTCGAAGGTCTAATGACTAACTTACCTTATGAACAAACCACATATGGATAATCATTAGGTAAAAGAATCTTCTGATTCTTTAAAGGATGTTCACATGAGTTGTTTTTTATCCGACCCATGATTATAACTCCTGAATGTCTAAGCCGATCATGCCAAAGTATCAATTTTTTTTTATCAATGGACTTTTGGTTTGTGATAATATTTTATTCGACCATTTTTATAAATGTCTGATGGGAGTGCATGAAGTTTTTCTTTTATCTGCTTCTTGTCAGATACAAAAGAAGTTATGCAAAAATATTCAACATTATTTTCTTGCATTGTCTCAACGTGATATCCATTGCAACAGATATCTTTAAAACCAAGCAAATTTTTTCTGGATTTATTTGAATAAAGTGCATCGTCAATATACAATTTTGTATCATTTAGTAAAATAATACAAGCTCTTCCAGAGCTTTCAACGATATTCGATGTACTTGATATCGTGTTAACATTATTTTTAGCTAATGTTAAGTTCAAAAAATATTTTTTATCTTGAAGAATAATATGTGTAGTTGCACACTATCAATCAAACAAGTATCTTGACGATCCATTGTGAATCTATAAGAAAACAGATATATTTTTTTAAAAAAAATTGAATTTAAATTTTAAAAAATAAACATAATTCAATATAATGAAATTAACAATGTATAATAAAGTTTCAATTTTTTTTGTTTTTGCAAAAAATAAGAATATAATTTATATTGAATTTCTAAAACGAAAAGAAATACTAGAAAGTAAATTAATCTATAAATTCCATCACACTATCCCCAATCATATGGTCAAAATTCATATTTGGATCAGCAAAGAAATCGAAGACATTCTAATGAGTCACAGCAATTGGACATTCATAATCAGCTAAATTTGTCTCGACTTTTCCTTTTCCCTTGATTATTTTTTATAGAGATCCACAACGTATTTTTTCGTACGATATGTACGTGCCCAATGCCCCTTCATTCCACATTTAAAGCAACTTTCTTCGTGCTCCTTTTTAGATGTACTACTGTCGTTTGCTTTGTAGCTTTTGAAATTATTGCCTTGTTGGTGATAATTTTGTTGATTATTTCGTCCATGATTTATTTCATGTGCACGTCTACGTCCACGTCCAAGTCCAAATCCGTGTCTAAGTACACGTCCTTTTCTTGATATTGTATTTGCTTCAAGCAATGCAGTACAATTTGCTTTAGACAATTGTATAGAACCAGTTGGACGTAACCCATGATTTTTTATCAGCAGTTCATTATTTTGTATAGCCACAAGCAGACAAGATATGAGTTATGAGTACCTTTTAAAATCACGCTCACGATATTGCTACTGAGGAGCACATTCGAGGCGTGAAAGGTGGAAAAAGTTTTCTCCAATATATCTTCATCAATGATTTTTTCTCCATACAATGTCAA